ATAATGCTAATCTATTCTTTGAGCATCACCCGAATAGTGGTTAACGTATAGCATCGCTGTGTGTGAGTTGTTTTTATATATGTTGTTTAAATAGTTTTTGTGAATTGTTTGCAGAATTCAAAACATTTGAAGCAATTTTATTGATTGTTAATAAACTCATTATAAGATTAACAAACGCTATCAACACTACAATTAAGGTGATGTCCAGCCGTCCAAACAGTATCTCATGTAAAAACAATTGCGCCAATAAGTTGTTGTTTAAATCCAAGTCTTGAGGGCAAATGTTTGCCATTGTTTTATAAAATTGAGAATTCCACTTATTGTTCATAATTTAATAAATTAATGTAATGTTAATAAGTATTAATAATAACTATGCTGTAGTTACTACGAAAAATTAGTGCTCTTATCTTAATTTATAAATAAATATTATAATTTATAGTTATACTCGAAATGTACTAAATAGCTATTGTTATAAGTTAATTTAATTAATAGATATGTGTATTTTAAGTTTTAAGTTTAACTCTTAAATTAAACTACGGCAGGAGTGGGAGGTATTACTTTTACTAACATTTACTAACAAACATAAGTGCAAACAAAGTGCTAAAATAAATACCAAGAAAGTCTATCAATGTTCATAAACAGGTTGTTTTGCTGACAAAAATGAATTAGATTTTAAAACTAAGTTATTAATTAAATCACTAGAATTACCAATAAAATTAAAAATTATTGGAAAAATAATTAATAACAATAAGTACATACAATAAGTGTATGCGGATTATTAAAACATGTATGGAAAAAACAATTCACCAGAATTAAAAATACAATAATAAAACATTAAAAATTAATAGTAATAATAATAATTGTTATTTCCCGTCAATTGTAGTGAAATAAAAGTGTATATAAACGGCAATTGTTTTGTTAAACTTTATTCACAAACTTATCACAAGTTTTTAATTGTTTTGAAGACTAAATCTCTCGAAGACTACCTCAAAGACAATGCAATTCAAATCATTGATGCTTTTGATGGCTCTGTTGGTGGCACTCATGTTGGCTCAGGTATCCCATGTGAGCGCCGGCTATCTATACGGAGGGTATGTGTTGTATATCTGCTAATAAATTATTATATTAGTAATGATTTATCATGTTTGAAAAACAATTATAATTATTAATTACAAATCTAACACTTATTAATATTTTATAGATATGGAGGTTATGGTAGATATGGTGGTTATGGCGGATATGGAGGTTACGGCGGTTATGGCCGGTAATATAAGATAATGATAAATTTTGTTATAAATTATTAATTGTGTACATCTAATACAATTGTTTAACAGTGGATACGGGGGTTATGGTGGATTTTATGGATAAAAATTAAACATGGCACATCCTGATCACGGATTTTGGACTTTATTAATAAATATTTATTTCTAACATTAGTTTTTAATTTATTATTATTTCAAAATTGATTATTTATTTTATGTATACATTAAATAAATATTATTTAACATTTTTAAAAAATAAAATAAATAAATTATTTAAAGAATTTTAAAAACAATGACTACCATTAATTAATTAATTAATAATTACAAAAACATTTTTTTTTAAAGTTTCTACTTTATCACTTGTGTGTGTTTTTCATACAATTAAATAACTTTTAGAATTTAATTAAATAATATATCCGTGCTTTACTTTCACATTACATTTACAATAATTTAATTAAAAACATATTATAACACTTAAGTTTTTACATATTGGGCACTAAAATTACAATTAACTAAATTCATATCAATTTCACTCAAACCCGAGTTTACACATAACAGTACACAACTTCTGACCAAAACAGGTAAGCATAATAATTATTAATTAATTATGGTCACTTTAATACTTTCATTTTTTTAAATTATGGTAATTCTTCAGCAGTAAACACTATTCAACTCAAAATCTATGACAAACCATATGTGGTGTTCAAAACACAGACATTCATTAAAACTCTAACCACCGGTTGATTGCAACTAATGTCTGACCAAACAGTCGTCGGTATTATCACCGAAACTGTTCCCAAAGTTCGGAAAAACAAAACACTTCTGCCAACTAAACATACCGCACAGTTTCATAAGTGGTTAACATTAATTGTTTTAATAAAGTACTATAGTAAGTAAAGTACCCATAGACTGGTCTCAAACCCCTGAACACAATGTCAAACATGATATGACTGTTCGCTACAACACTGGCCAACACTATCACAACCGATGGGGACAACACTGTTAGCGCACTTCCGATCGTTATTTCTATGGCTGAACCCAATGCTGAGCCGTACGCACACTATCATCGACTCCGAAGTTCAGCCCTACCCTATCTTAGCCTTAAATAAAGATGGGCTCTCACACTATCTACAGGTAGCCCAATACAGGCAACTTGGCCTATACTGACCGCTCACAATGTTAATAGTCGGGAACTAAAAGGGTTTGGGAAATACTTTATGGTCACCGGCCGCGGGACCCGACATAGAGGTCGCGCTGGTGGCCATACAGTGCTTTCACATCTCTGTCGCACACTTTTCGCCCGACGATTGATTTTATTTAATTAATTGTTTAGAATTTATTTTATAATTGTTTTAATTTATGTATTATTAAAAGTTTATTTATTTTATTTAATATTGCTATTTTCTTAAATGTTTATAGATTTATATATTGATTTATATATTGCAATAGTTACACAATTGTGTAATTAAGTAAACTTTTATAACAGATATAATTAATTATGTACTAAAAATTATAATAAAACCAGAATTAATTATTAATTTCATTATTTGTATGGTTTAAAGCTACGGCCAATTTTTGCACCAAAATAAAAAACCGACACAACATTACGTAAACCTTTAGTATAATATAAAACATAATTTTAAAAATTGTAAAATAATAATTAAAGTAATTATTATAATTTAAATGTATAAAACATTTTGCATTTACTTTATATGAATTAAATGGTGTCATGAAGAAGAGGTTCCCACACGAGAAGCCGATGAACCTCTTCTTACTGTCCACCGTCTCTATCAATGATAATAACTGAAAACACATTAATTAATCAAATAATCAGTAGATAAATGATAATAATTATGTGAATCACGGCTTACTTTAAACTTAATTGGTATTAAATTAATTGAATTCAAATTGTAATATAATTTGATAAACAATTTTCTTGAATACAACAACTCTTTGTGAACAGAAGTGGTCAGTGATAGCAATGACACCAATAGTAATATACAGAAGAGGCAGACAATGACCAGCGGAACCACTGCTAGGTTTAACTCTTCAAACAATATCTGATGAAAAACAAACAAAACAAATGGTATATAAGTGTAGATAATTATGAATAAAATTTTTCTCCAAAACATATTTAAGTTAATTATTGTTTTGTATATTTCATTGGATTCTTGTATTGCATTATAAATACTGGTATCGGATGTGAACAGCATTTCGTTAATAAAATATTTGATGTCATAATTAACTGATTTTAATAATAATTTACTATAAATGCAAACAATTGTAAAATATTT